TCCTAAACAACTGCAAAACTGAATTTTCACATTTTATGTTCAACCTGTCAATCAGAATTTTGTGAGGACAAGATAATTTGTCAGAGGCCCATGAAAGTTAGGATATTATACGACCACAAGAATGCAATACTGTTCATCACATTGTTAAGTTTACTCTAAAAGCAAAGCAGATGAGCGGGAGTTGATGTCTGCCTTTTGGATCATTGTATAAATACATGTCACAGCTACTATACAAAGATATGACAGCTTTAAGAAAATCAGCATCAGACATCTGAATAGCACTGAGTTGAGCAGAACTCCTTCAAAGCTGTCTGCAGGTATTATGATAAAAGCAAACAAGGCAGCCAACAGACTTATTTTAATCTACTTCAACATTTAGCCTTTTGGTTAGCAGAAATGCAATAATGAACACTGAAAAGACGGACAATCACATATTTTATAGACAGTCAAATGCAATGGGGGGAATCTATTAAAGCAATGGAGGCGTCTGATTAATGCAATCAGCATTAGATCGTGCAAATATTGTCATTGAATGCCATCTTGTAAAGTCAGTAACACGTAGGATTTACTACTTAATATCTAAAATTCTCTCTTTGCATTAAGGTCATCAGAAGGTGAACATAATCATCCTACAGCTACTACCAGAAGACCTTCATAGGATCTTACCACTCATTGGAAGATATTTGACATTTTTAAAGAGTGCCAACACAACTGAAACTACATATACTTCTGAATGAATTTTCTACATGCTTTTATTTATTTATTTATTTAATTTATTTATTTATTACTGCGCTTGTATACCGCCGTTTCTCAGCCTACATTGGCGACTCAATGCGGTTTACAACATTACAATAATCAACAATATTCAAGATAAAAAGCATAAAAAAGCATAAAAACACATACATAATATACAATATTGGGCCACCAATATCGAACCAATGTATCTCTTAGTTAAAAACGCAGTCCAATTTCATCGTCTGTGATTACCAGTCCTTGATCGTCAGATTCGTTGCACCGTGTTAACCGAATGCTTGTTCGAACATCCATGTCTTCAGTCTTTTTCGAAACGCCACCAGCGAGGGGGCTGATCTTACCTCTATGGGGAGGGCGTTCCAAAGCCGAGGGGCTACCACAGAAAAGGCCCTTTTGGTTGTGATTGAGCAAATATTTCAAACCACAGATGGTTAAGATTTGACTTTTATCATATTGCAAATGCATGTTATTACTACAATGTTTTGTCCATGATTCATGCTCAGTTGTCTTATCATTTGTGACATAGAGTTATCACATCAGCAGCTCCTCAGATGTGAGCCTCAAGCAAGTCTATTTGACATCAAGGTAGACCTAGAGAGCAGATTCCAAAGACTTCCTTCAGGAGAATTAGCAGAAATACAATTGAGTTCGCTCAGTGCTTTGAATAGGTACATACTACCAATTTAAAGTGGAATCCATGACATGCGAGTGTGGAGAAGAGCAAACTACAGACAACCTGCTGCAATGCAACCTGAGCCCTGCCACATGCACAATGGAGGATCTTTTTGTAACAACACCAGAGGCACTCCAAGTGGCCAGCTACTGGTCAAAGGACATTTAATCAACTACCAAGCTTGCAAACTTTGTATGTTGTCTGTCTGTCTGATTGTTTATTAAAAAATGCAACTCAACTGTTCGGTCTGCTCCTGACACGATAAATAAACAAACCAATTTAAAGAGCTTCTCCTGCAAGGGCTATTGGATCCAGAATCTAAAATTACCTAAGTGTAATCCCTATGGATCAGAAGGTTCAGCAAGCCTCAGATGTGCTGGACATTTGTGAATTTGTGGAAATTGCTTTTAAATTTTGTTAGATTTTAGCTATTCTTGTAAGCCACTCCGAGCCCCAGGGGAGTGGCGGCATATAAGTTTAAATAATAAATAAATAAATAAATAAATAAAATAGCTTCAACTTAAAATGCAACCCCTTTAGTTCCCTGCAATTTTGCTTTTAACTGGAAATGTTCTGGCAAGTCCCTGCTCCTAGAACCTGAGGAGGCATAAAGTCTTCCCTAAGCTGTAGGTTTGGTCAGATAAACACCTGCTATATTCTGCAGAATTGAATCTCATGCTGCATCTTTAGACCTGACTTATCCTCCAGAACACACTGCTCTGGGTTTATTCAATTCCAACTGAAAGTCTGGTTTGTGCTCTATAGTCTAAAAGCTACAAGACTATGCTCAAAACATGAACCCTCTGATATTTAGCCCAGAATCTTGACTGATTCTGTACTCCACTCCTGGCTCCACCCCTGCAGCCATCTTCAGTGTAGAAAACAACAAAACTACTTCTGGAATGCTGGAAAGTAACCACTTCACCATGTGCCAAACAGATGGATATCTCATATATTTTCTCGGTTCACAATGCATCACATAAAACTATGTGGTTTGATCCTCTGGAGCAGTGTTTCTCAACCTTCCTAATGCTGCGACCCCTAATGCTGCGCCCCCTCATGTTGTTGTGTTCCCCAACCATAAAACTATTGCTACTTCATAACTGTAATTTTGCTACTGTTATGAATTGTAATGTAAATATCTGATATGCAGCATGGATTTCATTCACTGGACCAAATTTGGCACAAATACTCGATATACCCAAATTTGAATACTGGTGGGGTTTGGAGGAGGATTGATTTTGTCATTTGGGAGTTGTAGTTGCTGGGATTTATAGTTAACCTCCAATTAAAGAGCATTCTGAACTCCACCAATGATGGAATTGAACCAATCTTGGCACACAGAACTCCCACGACCAACAGAAAATACTGGAAGTGTTTGGTGGGCATTGACCTTGAGTTTTGAAGTTGTGTTCACCTATATCCAGAGAGCACTGTAGACTCAATTGTAGATCTGGATCAAACTTGGCACAAATACTCAATATTCTCAAATGTGAATGCTGGTGGAGTTTGGGGAAAATAGATCTTGATATTTGGGAGTTGTAGTTACTGGGATTTATAGTTCACCTACAATCAAAGAGCATTCTGAACCCCACCAACGATATAATTGGGCCAAACTTCCCACACAGAACCCCCATGCTTTGAAGGGACTCGCTGGCACGAACCTCCTTCCAGCCTCACACGCTCTCCCTCATCCCCACATGCACACCATGCTGCGATGCACCAAGCATGCCTGCTCTTCCCTCTCTGCATGGAGTATCAGAAACAGCCCTGCCCTTGGCTGAGAGGCCAGCCATTCATAGAGGAGGATGGCTTTTGGTGGGAGAATTCCCTGTCTTTTTCCAGAAAGGAAGGGAAGGACAGGTGGAGAGATCTTCAGCTTTCTCTGCCAAAGGGGTTCCTAAGAAACATGTGTTTTTAAATAGTCTTTGGAACCTTCTGAAACCCCTTCAGGACCCCCAGGTTGAGAAACATTGCTCTGGAATGTTTTATGAAGAAATTCTCTTATTTTCACCACTGATTTTGATGGGAATTAGCCATAGCAAATCCCATTAAATCAGTGGTGAAAATAATAGAGTTTCTTCTCTATAGTGCCCTATATCCCAGGATCTGATACCAGATTGTCTTCTTTGAATTGGATTGTGTGAATATACACTGCCAGATAATCTGGGATACTAAAATAATCTGAGATTAGAACCTGAGATATAGGGTAGTGTAGATCCAGCCAGTGAAAGGGCCCTCTCTACCAATCAAATGTACACAGAAGTGTAAGGATAGGGAAAACTCTTTCCCCTATTTCCTTGTTATGTCCACCTCATTGATTTTCAGCAAAACACCTAATTGGCCACTAGTGATTATAGGATTTCACAGACACACCAGTAGCTATAAGAGAGCATGCAAGTGATAAATCTGTGGCAGCAACTTGCAATAACAACAAAGGCACAAAATTACCTTTGATCTATGCTTACTTGATGTTGCTCTATTTCTTTATCTTTTTCATCTGGGACCTCTGTATTTCAATGCTTATGTAAGAAAAGAACTTGCCCTGTTAACAGTTCTATTGATCTTTTATAGTGGCTGGTAACTAAGCATAATTTAAACTGGCATTTAAAATGGAAAAGCTGCACATCTTTGTTCCTGTTATTTTTTAACCTTTTCCTTGTGGCAGTATAGAGACTCAACTATTTAAATAATATTCTGATTCCCATATCTGTGAAGGATATATTCCCGGACTTATAGACATGGACAGCCATCTATAATAGTGAACCCTACTTAAGCAAATGACTTCTCAACAAAGGGTAACATAGAATGTTACAAGAAAATGCCTACAGTGGACATATTTTTTTCAGATGTGGACAAATGAAACCATAGATACTGGTCTTTGGATATGGGTTCATACTGCAAAATACTATATGCCTACAGTTCAGTTTTAAGTAAGCGCTATTTCAGTAGCTCTAGTGCAATTTCCTCCAGAATATATTTCAGGTTGGTGGTGCAGAGTGTAATTAGCCTCTCTAGAACTAGTGATGAGCAGAGTTTGAATCCCATGAATTTCCTTGGATGATCTTAGTCAAGTCACACTCTCTCAGCTTTCATGGTAAACAAAGGCAAATCCCCTCTGAAAATGTCTTGCCAGGGAAACCCCATGATAGACTATTTAGAGCAACATTTTTAGAGGTCACCATAGGTCCAAAACAACTTGAAGGAACACAACAACATATACTTTGTCTCTAAGTAGGGGAGGCATGTTAAAATATTGGACTAGCTAGCTAACCTGAAAACTACATCATTGCCTTAATGTTGACAATGTCCATTTCATGGTTTCCTTTTCACTTTATATCTAATCTATTTTAAATCCAAAGCATGTCGCTTTCCTTCACAAGATGGCTTCAATGATCATTTCCCACTCACCATTGTAGTTTCTGCTATTGAACCAAAGCTGTTGATAAATATGTTGCAGGTAACATTTACAGGAGGACCTGCAAGTTGAACAATAAATAGAAAAAATTGATAGGTTGTGTTTATGACATATATAGGGTTGTTGTTTTTTTGCTGGTGGCATTGCCACACTTACCATTGTGGTTTCTGTGACAGATCCAAAACTGTTGATAAAAATATTGCAAGTAACGTTTACTGGAGGACCTGTGGATGCAATAAAAATGTTGCAATATATATATATCAGAGCAAAGGTTCTTCTCCATCGTCATCTTTTTAAAAAAAAAACACACCCAACAACACCTGGAATAGATGCAGCTGAAACTAAGCAAAAGGTGAGACCCAACAACAAGTAATATTTACATTGATCAATTAACACTGATAGATTCCTGATTGAAATTATCTGCAATGCAGCATTTTAGTGGTTTATGGAAAATTTTAAAACCTGATTCAACTGAGCTTTTGTAGGACAAATAGTACTTGCATTAAGGACTCACTGACTCAACATAACTTTCTAGAAAGAAAAAGTACACAGAAGAACTTTACAATAACATACATTTTGTGACTCATACATTTTCTCTTAGAAATACAGAAAAAACATCCAGAGTAGATTCTTTGGGTGCTTTTCTCACACAATTCCTGCTGACTATTCAATATCAGTTAATAAAGGGAAGAAGAGGTAGAGATTTCTAGAGAAAACATAGTGGAAATGGGGGAGCTTCTAATCTGTGTAGTATAAAGTTATTGTTTGATCCTTTATTTGATTCAGATTAAGATGATACAGCTAGCTTTATTGTGCAATATTCTCCCACATCCCAGAGTTCAACAGCAAGCCCTAGTACAAGATTAGCCAGCTATACTGTACTACTTTATAGTATACGGTCCTTTATTTGAAGGCCCAGGTTTTGTTTAAAGGTAAAGAATTAGGAGATAGGAGAATGGGATACTTGAAGGTACCTTTCTACACTTACAATCCCCAAACAGCAGACTGGCCTAATGACAAAGAATGCATGTTTAAAATAGAGTCAGGTCACTTGGTCCAAGCCTTTCCCCCTATGCCAGGCATGGGCAAACTTGGGTCCTCCAGGTATTTTGGACTTTAACTCCCACAATTCCTAACAGCCGGTAGGCTGTTAGGAACTGTAGAAGTCCAAAGCATCTGGAGGACCCAAGTTTGCCCATGAATGCCCTATGGTGAGATTAATTCTATTTAAATTATAACCATTTCTGACTTTCTATATGTACATGCAAAGAGGCACCTTGTTTTGTCCACTGGTTTGCTTACTCTTCGAAGATAGGAATATGTTAATTGGTCACCCTATGCAATGCAGATCACAAGATCTCCTGATTAAGACTGGGTTTGTGGAACAATCATAAAAATCTTGCATAAACTATAAACTAAATATAAGAAAGGCAGTTGAAATTATGACATGAAAGGATTTTAGCCTTTCCACCCATACAACTAGATTAGAATAACTACCTGTTCTAATCTGTTAATTTATTTTTCATACTGAGGAACTGTAAGATATTGTTCATACTTGCATAATGGGAACCAGAATGGTATGGTGGTTTGACTTTTGGATCAGGATTCTGAGAGCCCAGGATTTGACCCCTTGCTCAGATATGGAAACTCCCTGCATAAACATGTGTCAGTCACTCCCACTCGGCTTTAGAAGAAATCAATAAAAAACTACCTTCTCATCAAGAAAACATATGAAAGGTTCATCTTACAGTTGCCATATGCTGGTAACAATTTGAAGACACAAAACAACCAGTATATAGAGAGCCCTAAACATGTATAATAATTAAAACAGAATAAATTTTACCACGGGTCATGATTTCTAAATATATAATATGTGGATGTTGTGCTGCATTATATCTATCAACAGAATTATAGGCCTTAAACCATTTTTAGTCTCAACTGGAATAGACTTTTTATTAGCCTACTCTTACATATATTCTATTTATTCAGCAAGTCTAGTCTCACAGAGGTTAACAAATTTAGGCCAAACTTTCCAAGGCACAGGAAGCATTGTTACAGTAAAACCCTTTTTTCATATAGTCCATGTCCTGGAGTTATTTGTCCATATAGTGATGCAGTATAAAAGCAGTATCAATCCAAAGCCAATGCCTTAAATCAAGAAACAGCTTTCTACAGAGATACTCGAAGAAAAACCTCAGCAAGCAAGAGTCCAAAAGTGGCAGGCAAAAACCCAGAACCCCAATCAGTGGCTGAGACAAACAGAAGACACAGAGAAGATTGGGAGACCTGGAAGGTGCTAAACAGACTGCGCTCTGGCACCACAAGATGCAGATCTAATATTAAGAAGTGGGGCTACAATGTAGAGTCCACAACATGCAAGTGTGCAGAAGAGCAAACCACAGACAACCTACTACAATGCAACCCAGGCCCTGCCACATGAACAATGGAGGACCTTCTCACAGCGACACCAGAGGCACTCCATGGCCAGCTTCAGCTCAAAGGACATTTAGCATAATGCCAAGTTTTTAAACTTTGTGTTTTTGAATACATTATAACTGTACCCTCAATTCGCTTCAGACATGATAGATAAATAAATAAATCCAAACCCAGGGAAAGTGCTCATGATTCTGAGTCACATTGAGAAAGGAGTTCCTGTTGTATGTGGACACGTTGGCACAAATGCTTGGGATCAAGTTGCTAGAATCATAACTCGGATACATGGGGATACAAATGTCACCCACTCAAAGTAAGGACTGGTCGAATTAATTAGCATGTGTTGCTCAGTGCATTTGTGTCACTCCACTGCCATGGTCCTGAATTGAGGCAGAACCAAACTATAAGTACAGCAAAAACAATGCCATTGCCAGTAAAGCCTCACAAGAAGTAGACATGGTCTCAATCAGTGTGAACTATGCTTCAGAGATTTAGAAGAGAGCTTCAGGGGAAAACTTCTAGAAATGATCACCCACAGGCATACTCCAGACTTATAAAATCTTACTGACATGCAGGTTGCATAGAACTTTGAGCTCTTGTTCAAATACCAATGGAAAACCATTTATATAATTTGAACCAAAACTTGCTCAACTAAAGGTTCTTCATGGTTTTTTTAAGACTCCCATTTATTGGCTTAAATCAGCAAATAAGGAAAAGTCCCGATCTTATTAAAATTTCTGCAGCAAGGATTTGCTTTCGAAACAACATTCCTACTTGTCTTATGTGATCATGTTCAAAGCAGGATTGTGAATGGAAAGTTTTTACCACTGCAACATGTTCTTCACATTTTGCTGGATCAAACTCATTGCATGAGTTGACTTTACGGCACTTTTTCTTTGAAGTTTTTGTTATAGAAATGCAAAGCAACAGTGTTAAGTGATGAGTGAATAAAACATGAACAGCATTCACACAATAGCCGGTTCTGTTGTGCTTTTAAGGACTCAGCAGTACACTCTCTTGAACAAATCCCACTAAGAGGAATGGGAATAGAACACTTTTGGCTAGGAAATGCTTTAAGTTATTAGTCAAGTGCTGTAGGTCTTCTAATTTGTTCCAGTTTTTTTCCTTTTAGGCCTCTGCATTTCAGTCTTGGAAACTATGTTCTGGGAGAATTGTCTATGGAACCAGAATCAACACTGGTGGTTGAAGAATGGTCTTGAACCAGGATACCAGTTTGTGCACAAATCTCAAAAACATCATATATTCCAACTGTCCTGATTTGGCATCTTACTTTTTCAGCTGTTTTTTTAATCTTCTTGTTTCTCTCTCCTTCATGTTTTCCCCCTATCACTTATATGAATGCCTCTGTAAACAGTTGTGGCTGGTCCCATTTTGAAACCAGCTCATCTGTTTACAGGGGCCCAAAGTCATAGTTTGCTCTTCATTCTCAAAGAAAATCTGGAGCAACCCGATTCTTTTGTTTATGTAGTTTAAGGCTGCATTAACCCAAATTAGTGCTGTGCATCATATAGCCACCAATTTAGCACTGGGCACCATGTAGCCACTATCTTCATGATAGCATCTTCCCCTATGAACCTGTGCAAGCTCTAAGAACTTTGGGGGAGGCCCTTCTCTCGCTCCCACCTCCGTCACAACTGTGGTTGGTGGGGACGATGGAGAGGGCCTTCTCAGTGGTGGCGCCCCAGCTTTGGAACTCTCTCTCCAGGATATTAGATTAATGGCATTTTGGAGCTTTGATATAAACAATGATGAAGAAATGTTGAATGTGAAAGACAAAAATGACAGGATCACAAGATCACAAGAAACTGCTAAAAGAAATTGTGTGGAAGACAAAAAATCTCAAAACCACTACAAATTTAAATATTTCTTTTACAAAAAGCTTTTTTTTTTTTGGTGGTTTAATTTCATGTTATTTTTATGGCTTCATTCATATCTTACATCATCAAGCCCCCTTTGAGAGGCCTCTTTTAAGAAATCTCCAAATTGTATGAGAATGAAATTAATGGGACTTTAAAGTACTTTAAAATTGACTTGGCTGTAAAATCTTGCTATTCATTCATAGCAATTTTGAGCACCCGTTAAAAACAACAGGCCTTCTAAAATCTTCTAGACCTCAAAATATTGTAATTCAATTGTATTAAGACTGCTCAATTTGTTGGGAAAATAGATAATATGAAATTATTATTTTGCTTTATCAAGCTCAAACCAGTATCTTGATATGTTCTACTACCACTTGCATATGAAAAGCATAATATATGCCCAGTAGTGCATAATAATTAAAATAAATTTCAGTCTTGCTTCTTACTGTGGATGTAATCCACTCAACTGGGTCCTGCACGTTCTTCACTGAGTTTAAATGAGAGATGTGGGAAAGCGATATGAAGAAATTATCTGTATTTCAGGAGCTCTAGGAAAGGGCTTGTTGTCTCAAAGCATCATTTTGCTATAGAATAATTTAGTTGGAAGAGACCTCGTGGACCATCCAGTCCAACCTCCTGCCAAGAAGCAGGAAAATCACATTCAAAGCACTCCCAACAGATGGCTATCCAGCCAAAGAGTCCAGGGCAGAGAGTTCCACTGCTGAACAGCTCTCACCATTAGAAAGTTCTTCCTAATGTTCAGGTGGAATCTCCTTTCCTGTAGTTTGAAGCCATTGTTCTATTAAATAAATCCTATTTATTTATTTGTTTAACCTATTTATACCCCGCCTTTCTCTACACCAAGGGGGCTTACATATGGCAATTATTCAATGTCTTAAACACATACAACA